CTTGGACTCTGATTTAATTTTGGATGCTATTTGGAACCCTGACATAAGGTTAATGAATTATGGCCAGTATATATTTATAGATTTTTTTTTCATGTTCATGTATTCGATTCAGTGACCAAGAAATTTAGCAAAATTAATAATTCTAGAGCAGTGTTTCTTGGAAATTCTGAAATTTCTCTCAGCATTTCTCAGAATTCCCTAGTCAGCATATTCTCAGGGGGGCGGAATATTGCCTTTTCACCATGTTTTATCCTCCTTCTTGAATATATTAAACCTATAAATCCTCCCTTAAACTTGAGCCCTCTAGCTCAGTTCCAAACTTTCTTTTTATATGATCACTACCAATTACTGAAAGCTTTTAAAGAACTCCATCTCACTCAGGGACCATGACACATATTTTTCCTCTAAATGGCATCAACAGTTCCCCTAATTTGATGATGATGGTGACGATGAAATCTTACAAGATTATATCTTGAGAATTTCCAGGTCAAATCTTGGGAGATAGTCAGTTTTTAATATGGCCATTGAAAACAAAACAAAAACTATTTTGGTACCCAGAAGGGACCAATCCTCATGATTTGCCGAAGATTTTAGACTGGCCTGGAAATCTTTGCTCTCAGTATATTGGGATTAATTGTCAGTTAGCTGTTGACCAGGGTGGGAAGGAGATCGTTGAACTTTTAGTCTCAATGCTTCTGCAGAGAAATAGGTTGGAGAAATCTGATCTATTCATCTGAAAAATCATTTCTTCATGAGAGCTGTACTTACTATTAACTGCATGCTTTTTGCAAAAATGTCAATTTTCCCCCATTGAATTTGTAATTCATTGCCTGACCATTGTGTTTCTTTTCTAGATCAAATAATAATAGCATTTTCGGTTTCTATGGTCATTGGACTTGTCATTGGAAGCATATTCTGGGGCGTTTTGACTTGCCTGTCTAGCCGTAGAGCCAGTGCCCACATTTCCCAATGGAGCACCTCATCATCCAACTGGCGTACCAGAGCTGCTCATGGCTGTGTGGCCAGCAGGCCTGGATTCTATCGCAACAGCATCTGTGAACGCCGAAGCAATCTCAGCTTAGCCAGCCTCACTTTCCAAAGGCAAGCATCTTTAGAGCACGGTAATTCTTTCCCAAGGAAATCAAGTTTTCGGGCCTCCACATTTCACCCTTTTCTACAATGCCCTCCACTTCCTGTGGAAACGGAGAGTCAGTTGATTACCCTGGTCCCCACCAGTACCACCACCACACCTACTGGAACTTCCACCAACAGCTTCACTCATCCAGAATTCACTTGGTCAAATAACAGTCTTCGTGTCTTCCATTCAACACCAACTCCGCCTCCTGCTTATGACTCTATCATAAAGGCTTTTCCAGATTCTTGACTTCAATTCATGAAATTCAATTCTATGATTTCTTGTGGGCTGTTGAAGATACCTGGAAAGCTTACTATGGCCAAAAGGAACTACAGTGCTGGGACAGGAGGGATCTAGTGAAACCTGAGCATTTGGTGTGGTAACGGGATGTTCCTCAACTTTGAAGATCTTTCTCACGATTGCAGCAATCTGCAGTATTAATGCGTTTTTATAATTAACTTGGCTTATTAAGCATTGTCTTTCATTTAGCCCAGTGTTTTTCAACCTTTTTTGTGCAAAGGCACACTTTTTTCATGAAAAAAATCACGAGGCACACCACCATTAGAAAATGTTAAAAAAAA